GCCCAGCTGCCTCGGGACCTGCAAGCAGCACGGCAGCAGTGGTCTGCAGCGGGGCAGGTCAAATATTTCCCCCACTGCCTGATCGTGTTGGTTTTGCAGGTTGTATTGCTGCAGCCCTGGTGCTGATGAGGTGGAGGCAATCTCCACATTGCCACAGCAGCAGTAGCCCGAAATGGCACCAGGTGACGTGGAGGTGGACTTGGGGGGCAAAGCCCCCTGACCCAGGCCATGGCAGCGCTCAGGAGGCAGAGTCACGGCAGGCAGCTTCAGGGGAAGAAGGAAGATGAACATCTTCAGGTGAGACAAAAGCCTGTTCTGATGTCTCCACTATCTGGAGGCCTTTCTCGCCACTCATCAACATTTATTCCTGATGGACAAAGCGTCTATCGTTCAAAGATACCCACAGAACAACACAGTATTTTGTTATATGATAGTCACAAAGGCAAGCGGCATCTCAGAGGTCATTTTTATTGAAAGAGGAACTAAAATGACATCAGGAAACAAGCTTGATGGTTATGACTTACCTGATCACAACACTTTTACCAGTCTCTTGAGGGGCTGCAAACAGCATTGTCCAGGTAGCTTGGATACTACTCTTATTAGCATCTGATAAAAAGTCATGGCCCTAGAGAGTGTGTCCTGGAAAGGGACACAGAAGTACATACTTCTGGAGGAGGTCAAGCATCCTAGGGATTTTACCAGGAATTTCCCATTCAAAATTTAGCACAGAAGCAGTGGGAAGATACAGAACTGATTTATTACTGGAAGCTGATCTTAGGACACCAGTTGAGAGATCCTTTTGCTGGAGAGATGAGGGAAAACATCATTTGTTTTACAAACTGTTCTTCTGTTTATACATCCCATATTGGCATTCAATATGCCAATAGCGTAACTGACGATGGGTGCAGCCTATAGGTCTTTCACTGAAAAACTGCTGTGTAAGCAGTTTGTTTCCCTTGTGGTTGGACAGTTACTCTGTCCTAAATGTCAGATTTTCCGTACTGAACTGATCTCTCCAATTTGTCTAGATCATTCTGAATTTTAACCCAGTGCCTTGGGGTGCTCGCAGCCCCTCCAGCTCAGGCACATCTGAGAATTTAATAAGCGCGTTCTCCATTACAACACATAAGTTATTGATGAAGGAACAGTGAATAATAATGTTGAACCAAGGACTGGAATCTGTCACAGAAGGAAAACAGACTCATCTGAAATGATTCATTCTTGGCAATGGCCATGGTTATTACTCATCTCTTTCTTCGATTAAATGTCCCACTGTGTTTTTGTGATTTGAAGTTGACTGGTTTATGGTTCCTTAGTTTCCTCCTTTTACCCTGCTAATGATAAGAGACCCTATTGTCTTGTTTCTGCGACCCCATCACCCTCCACCACTTCTCAAAGGTACTGGCTGTGTGGAGGTGGCCTCCATCAGTTGCTGAGGTAAAAGGGCATTTTTTTCGGGCAAACAGTCTGAAAATACCAGAACGGTTGAAATATACTTTAATTCACACTTTTTAGGATCCTCCCACCTTCTCCGCTGGCTGTTTTGCTAGTGGGAAAAGGAAAAGTGGTCGTAGAAGTATGCTGGTCACTTCATTGATTCCTCTCTCCCAGTGTTGTTTGCAGCAACAGGAGATGCCATGTGGGGAGAGCACACGAGCCTAGCCAGTTTTGATTGTGCTCCTCCAGCATCCACACCAGCAGCAAGAGCAATTTCAGCGAGTACATTCCTGCCTGTTGCCTTCAGCATCTGTCTGTTGACCTGCTGCTCATGAACTTGCTATACCTTTTATAAACCTGCTGATCCTATTTGTTTCCCCAACCTCCTGTGGCAGCAAGTTCCAGAAGTTCATTCTTCCCCCTGCCCTGTGTAAAGTCCTTTTTATCCATTTTAAACCAATCTACCAGACTCATCGATGGCCTCTAATTCTAGTCATGCAGAATCTGATGAGCACCAGGTCCACATTCACTTTATGATTTTGTAGAGTTGGCCCTTCCCGCTCCCCTTTCTCCAAGGAAAAATCCCAGCCTTCCCAGGACCTCCTCATACTGCAGCTGCCCCATCCCCTCGATCATCCCAGTTGCCCTACTCAGGACTCTAAGCCCACTATGTCCTTAGATTCAGAGGCCAGAACTGCACAGATGTGGGTGCACCAAGCTGTTACACAGCAGGCAAGAGATGCCCTCTTTCTTGTTTTGAGAGCCCAAGCCCTTCCTGATGACATCACCGCATTTTGCTGGCTTTTTGCTGCACATCAAGGCTACAATTTTGGTGAACCGTCAATGAGGAATCCAGCATCTTTTTCCTGAGCTGTAATAGCCAGTTTAAGTTCAACCTCCTTTGTTTTAGATCATATTTCCCTATTTGTGTCACCTTATTTATCTCCACTGAAATGATTGACCTCCTGTTTTTCCGTTTGTGAATAACACTGAAAGCTGCATATAGTAAAGCTCCATGGACTACCTCAGATAGCCTCTCACCAGTCTGCTGCAGTCATCTGACATTTCTGTCAAAAGATAAAGCGTGCAACTCTATCAGCAGGTTTTTGGTCCATATTCCTGGGACACAGTTCTTCGTTATACCCTTCCTTTCCAGATCCCCTGTCACAGTGACTTCAAGTAGGCAATGAGCTGCTGGGTAGACACAACTCAATGAGGATCTAGCTGGAGTTGGCTAAACACAGGGGTTTCCAGCCAGCGCCGCTTTTTAACTCCTTGTACCAGGACCAGACAGAGATAAGGGGGCAGACTGTGCCAGCTGTGTGCTCTCCAGAGACCTTTGCACATGGCCAAGAGGATCCCAACTATGGATTTATGGAAAGCAATACAGCAAAATGTGCATTGCAGCTGCTCAGCCAGAAAGCTTTTATATCTCCTTCGATGGTTGAGCAGCTGAGTGCCTTTATTAATAGTAGAAGTATATTTATCAAAATTCATGGGTCAGCATTGTTAAAGCTCCATAGATTCAATTTGGACAGGTCACCATTATTTATTTTTCCAGATCGTAGCTTTAAGCAAGGATATTTTCAGTATATACTCCAGATTTCTCCCCAAGCT